TGTGATCACATTTGCGTCAACGATGATTCTTCCTATCATTGTGAGTGCCGGCAGGGTTTTGTGTTGCAAGAAGACAAGAAAACATGTTCCAAAAAACGTAAGAGCTCAACCATGTATTTTTCTGCACTTGATTGATACTTATGATAACAAATGGTTAAATTATTGCGCTGAATGCACGTTGAAAATAGCACCAAACAATAATAGCCACTGTGGTGATGCATTATATGGCTTTGAAATATGTGTGTGGGCAATGCCTATAGCCTACTGGTCAAATTATTCCGATTTTTTTATGCCTTTGAAAGAAGCATCTTATTCTCACCAAGGCTATCAAAAATACAGTAAAAATACAGTTATAGACCTTATGTAGCCTCGCCCCTTTTCAGCGTTGCGCTCGTTGTCTTTTGACTTCCGGTCTGTATCTCCGCAGCGATCTTGCATGAATGAACTGCTCGTAAAACATTTCCCGGTCGACATTTGTTAAGACATCTACTTTACAATGATCATGATAAACATTAGAATGCTCATGATAACTTTTGTTAACTCTACAATAAGTAAATCCACTTCACCAGCTAATTAGGCTACTCCTCGACAGCGATGCCATAGAACAGAGCGACCGCAAAACCGGAAGTTCAAAGACAATATTCTAAATATGACGGCGCCCACGTTTCTCTGGTGCAGTTTATAACTGTTTTTTATTTGAATATATTATAAAATGTAATTTATTCCTGTGCTGCAAAACTGAATTTTCCGCATCATTACTTCAGTCTTCAGTCACATGATCCTTGAGAAATAAATTGAAATAAAATAAATTGGGATCACTAAGCTTCATCTGTCAGTGTCTTATAATTCTGACATGTTGAGTCAGTTGAACGCTGATTCAACATCGATGTAAAGTAAACCAATAATAGGCTATGTAACACTCTCACAATGTTGTGAGAAATTCAGAAATGAACAACATTGCATGAACTGTCTTGCACAGTGTTACATAGTTGCTAAAATACTTTATGAAATAACTTTCACTTTGGAGTTGGGGGTAGATAATTTGCTCTGTAATTATTACCCTTAATTCAAATCACCCTTTGCGAGGTATTTCTGTGATATTTCTCGTTTGAATGTGATGTGAAGAGGTGAAGGTGGAGATCGTTCAGGACCCTTGCATGTGTGAGGCCCGACTGGCTTTCCAGAGGCAGACACAAAGCTCCCTACAGGACCTCAACGCCAAACATATCCTTTCTGTCTTAGTGGAACTACATTTCCCATAATGCACTGCAAGTTGTTCCTCTTAAATCAACAATTCACCCAGAAATGTGAATTCTGCCATCTTTTTTACTTCCATATTTGTTTCTGGAAATGTTGCCATGTAAACCCTTTAACCTTAACAGCCGTTATACTTGCTGCTGTCACAAGAAAGGTCGAGCAAATGGAAAACATGCTGGGACGCATGTAACGGAGCAACTATTGGTGAGAAGTGATTCTCTGACGTGATTTTGATGGCTTTTATATTAAAAGCAGTCTCACTTTACTTCTGTTCATCAGGGTCCGATTCATCAGCAAAGCTTCATCAGGCCGCACAGTGATCTCATGAACATCTTTATGGCTTCAAAACACCAGGAACACAGTTTTACATGTTCGCAGATCACTGACAAGCCTCAGAAATGATTATTAATTGTGTTTGAATATAAATGAATATTAAATAATGTAAGATGTATTGATTGTGTATGATGTGCTTTTGCTCTCGAGTAGAAAGCTTTTCATTTAAATAGACTAAATTATGTAATCTATTGTATGCATATCTTTGCCCATGTTCATATCAAATATAATTCAATATTATTATTGTTTAATCTAATGTAGACTCTCAAGTAAAAAATTCATACTCTACGATATTTATAATCAAGCATTTTAATCAATAGTATTCATTACATTAAAACTTGAAATGCCTTCAAATAACAGTCTCAGTCTCTTTGTCTGGTTCATAATATTTGCCTTGCTTTCACAGGACATGGTATATTGAAGCAGTACAGACAGACATCCCTATTGAAATCATTATCACACAGTTCAGCGAGACAGACTTTAACAGTAAGATGTCAAAAACCTGTCTGTCTGCGACCAATGTGAGATGTGCCTGAATCAATATCTCAAACATTAAAAACCAACTGTAGACTTTCAGTCTAGCCATAGACTAAACATAATCGTATGAACTGCATGAAAACATGTTCATGACATTAAGCTGTGTGAGATTGCACACATGGACTATACAAACATTTGAACATCCCACAAATTCACACAGACTTACCTGAGAACATCAAGATCTCTCTCTTGCCTCAAACGAATCCCATCTAAAATCGATTCACAACCCCTTGGCAGCATTTTCAGTATCACATCAACTGATATTTCTCTATCACCTGTTAAAGCAAACAGAGTAAGTATTCATCTGGTTGCAAGGAGATGGAATGAAAGAGTTTTTTTTTGAGAGAGAGAGAGAGAGAGAGAGAGAGAGAGAGAGAGAGAGAGAGAGAGAGAGAGAGAGAGAGAGAGAGAGGATGATCAATGCCCATCAGACTGCTCAAGGCTTTACTCACATTAGACTTAACGTGTTAATTCTCACAGCAAACACCAATATTTGGGTCAAAAGTGTGAGCAAAGATCATTCGGTTCTGTGCAGAAAATGAGGTCTTGAAGTTCAGTGAGATCTGGGTGAAGGTGCACCAGGCACCATTGGTGCATTTCAAACTGCCCACCTTATATGATTGCAACATATTTTTAATATAGAGTTCCGAAACATCTGAAGCTTGCTAGGGTTATTCTTCTATATAAAAAAGGGAGCAAATTAGAAGAGGGCATTTATAGACCAGTTTTGATTTGGGGAGTTGTTTTAAAAGTATTGGAAAAAATAATACAAGAGCAAATAGTACTTTTTATCATCTTTACAAAACATCCACTTTAAGCTACAAAGTTGATATTCTTCACTGTTTGTTTGGATTTTCTCTCGCAGATGTAGCCTAATGGTGTCAAAATCTGCAATGGTGTCCATTACGTTTGTAGTCTCAAAGTCACATTTGTGGACCTCCTGGTTCCTTATTTTGAACCTGGATCAATGCTTAATGGAAAGGTAAGCAAAATGTCATTTCCTAACCTTAATCATTTCTAACAGATCTACGTGACTCGACAAAGCTGTATATCTTTATAGGGGAGCAACTGGCCCAACAAACTTCTGTTGAATCTAACCACAAACAAGAATAGACGGGCTGCGTTCTCCCGTCCGTCCGTCGGTCGCAGTAAAATGATTTGAAATGAGGTGTGTGTGTGTATACTGTAGCCTATGGGACGTCCCCTATAAGAAATAAGTCGAATAATGAAGTCGTTCAATAACAATAGGTGTGTAGCTACTCAACTGTCAGTGCCACAGACATATAGCGTAGCCTACCTTGTAAATTTAAGAGCTGTTCATGGACGAAACACCTAATGGAATATCCTCCCAGTTGAGATTACGTTAAATCAGTCAGATCGCTGTTTTAATTGAGCACGTGGTGAATGGTTGCTAAATGCTAATTAGATTTAGTTTTATGTAGTTGTTAGGAATATTTATTATTTTAGTGTAGGCCTATATATCTGTGTTTATAATTTTATTTATTTATTTATTGCATTTGGATGTGGTTGAGTATACAAGGTAGGCTACATTTTAGCTTGCCTGGCCATCTTTTATCAGATGAGGACCACAATGGAAATAAGTTTGTAGCTTTCTTGAGTTATCCTCGACAGTTCTGATAAATAGGCTACATAATGTCAATGTGATGATAGCATCTTGTTATGCTTTTATTTTTTTACTGTCTAATAAATAATACAAATAAAAACATGAGATTCTCAATCATAACCATTTTAAAGTACACAGCGGCCAGTATTTCTACTGTCTGAATCTTGACTGGCACACTTTGCTGGTCATAAATTATCCTATTCCCTTCAAAGCATTCGATATTTCTTCCACTTGCATCTCAAACCATCTATTCTGTCAGAAACTGGTAGAAAAACAAGTCTGGTAAAGATTTTCACATCCTCACCTCACAGGTAAGCATGGAGCTGAGAAATTCCTCAGCAAGTTAAAAACTTTAGGCATATATATTTTTTTATCATGCTGAAAGACAGTACATATTGACATAACCAGGGTTGAATTTCTGTGCTAGACACCTCACAGAAATATTTTGCACATGCATTTCTTAGAAGTAAAATTACCAGATGCCAACAATATTAGACCTCTATGTGTCTCTTTGAAAGTTTACTGATTTTATTTATTTATTCATTTGTATTATTATTTCACTTATTTACAAAACACAATTCACAAAATCTCTCGTTGGGAACACTTTACATGGTAGTCAAAGACAAGGATAATCATTACTCCAGCTCAGAAGGGGACGCTCGCGTATCGCTAACGTACAGAAACATCACGCGATCTAACTCTCATGAATATTAATTACGTTAAGTAACTGAACTGTCCTGGAACACGTAGAGCTCGCACTCCGCTCCAAACCAGCTCCAGACATGTCGGTGCTCCCGCCATCTTGGAACGGTAAGCATTTCGTTACTCACATGCAAGAATCAATGCATTGCTTCTGGTTTTGAAATCGCTATTATTTATATTCCCGAAGAAATTGTATAACTTTTCACATGTGAGAATGTGCTTGGTTCGTGTTTTTATGTATTAACACAACATTACAGTTGTTCTTGTTTTTTTTACTTTAGTACTTTTTATTTTATTTTTTTTACTTTTAATGTTGTGTTAGCTAATGCCTACGTCTTGTATTATGTTAGTTTAGTCAAATCATCTGTTTAAGTCATTTGCAGATAGGTTATATAGATATAGTGTGTCTACGGTTGCAGACGCTGTCAACTTGCTCTCGAGTGTTGTGTTTTGACCGGCTTTGACCGTTCCAATACGGCGGACAACAACTAATGTGTATCTAGCCTATGTAGCCTAAAAATGTAAATAACTACGTTACGTACACCGCGGCAGTAATTACTATTCATGAGTTGACTGTCACCACAGCGCGTCTCATGGAGGACAGCGAGTTTATAATCCTACAAAAAGCACATGATGAGTTCAACAGTAAGAATTTTAAACGAGCAGAGGAAATATACACACAATTCATCGAGTCCTGCTCCAACTCCAGGTATTAATGACTATAAATAATTTAATGTGAATAAATTAGAAGGAAACTGCCGGTGTAAACATTAGCAAGCACAGTCTACATGTAAACTGTCAAGTGTATAGACAAAAAAAAAACTATGATTAACTTGTCATTGAGGTGGTTAATAATTGAAGATCATTTGTTTTCTCTAAAAATCACATGTTTTATGTATTCTAGAGACTGTAATGCTCGTGATTTGGCCATCGCCTATAATAATCGAGGGCAGGTGAAGTATCTCAGGGTGGATTTCTATGAAGCCATGGATGACTATACTTCGGCCATACAGATCAACAGCCAGTTTGAAGTGCCATTATATAACAGAGGATTGGTACGTTATAGATTGGGTAGGTAAAGTTTAAGATGAAGTATTTTCCGATCCCCATGCATCCCACCTTGCTTAAAAACGTATAATCAAAAACGTATAAAACTTGTGAAAAACATATAATAAATTATGTATGCATGCTTAATGTGGCACCAGCCAGACTAGTTTTAAACTAGCTCAGACATCCAACCAGTTAAACTTTGTTTTATCCGGAGCATTATTTCTGTCAATCTTTTGTGTTGGTGCTGTATGATTTATGTGTGTTCTTCTTCCTAAGGCTTTTTCAAGGAGGCTGAGAGTGACTTTAAGAGAGCCCTGGAGCTGAATCCTGGTTTCAAAGATGCTAAAGAAAGTTTGAGTCAAACTCTCCTGGACAGTGAAGAAAAGTGGAACAGAGGCTACTGATGAGAACTAGTCATTCAATTTTACATTTCATCTCATCTGAACCAAGTTGTTTGAACTGTTGAGTCAACAATATGTTATATTGTCATTGACAATCAATAGAAAGTGATTGTGCTGTCATCAGTTTAAGTAAAATGTTATGTTTCTGTATGTATACTGATAGTTTTTTTTGACAATTACAAATCATGCACAACATCAAAAACATCAAAGTGCAGTCTGATTTAGATGATTCATTGCTCCTTTATCTGTTGCTGGATTGATTGACACACATTCGTTTAGTGAAGTTCAGAAGAGATTCGCAGTTTTGTGTAATGAAAACGTGAACCTTAAATGCATTCAGTTGTGATTGACAATCAAACAATGACTAAAATTTGACCAAGAATACACTGCTTGTATGATGCATTTATTTTTTTAGATATGCTTAGGGAATTCTTATATATTTTAGGGAACTGAATAGGAGCAATAGTCTAGAAACAAATATTTGATTTGTATGATGCATTTTTTTTCCATACTCTGTTTCCTTGTGTTATCCAGACCTGGAACCTTTTCTAAACTGCAGAACCCTGTCAATTATAAGTGTTACGATAATTATCTGTATATATATATATATATATATATATATATATATATATATATATATATATATTAATAAACACGTTCTTTAAAATGTGAATTTTAACTTGTTAAAATAATTTTTTTTTGAGTTTCACAAGACCTTTGAAGAATATGACTGGTACATATATCCAAATAACTCCAAAATAAAATAAAAAAGTGGGATTTTGTACTATTTAGGTATACTTTACTTTAGGAATTCTTTTCTTTAGGTATTCTCAAATTAAACCACAAAGGAAAAACTGCTTGTCACTGATATTACTTGTACCCTGCAGTACCTAACTAAAATGTACATTTATTTAACCTTATCAGAAGCCTGTACTGTTCCTATAAATATAATATTTTATTGCAAACGATCATTGGCTGAGCTCAGCTTTCATTCAGTAATGGTGAGAGGGATTCCTCCCTCTAATTACGGCGGCATAATAGTTAACTCATGACACCTGTTCTTTAGATGAAGATGATGATGAGTATCACCTGTGCGCTAGATTGATTACTTCATTAATTTCCATTTAAATAGCCTCACAAGCGTTACTTTCTGTGCTTGAGCTTGACAGCTTTACATTTAGGTGTTTAAAATACATCTAGTCCACCTGATAACAGAGGACTGATTTTGAGCAGAGATGCCATGGTTTACGGGGATTTGGTAAATTATAATCTGTGTTAAGAATTTTTTTTTCTTTGGTAAGTCCAGTTGTTAATTAATGTTTTGTTCTCTTTCAGTGCTTTATGGTTTGTGGTTTTGGCACAAAACTTCAGTGTTGGATCGGCAAAGAAAAATGTGTTTCCAGCACAGAGTTTCAACCAAAGTATGTCATGTATGTTTGTTAGTTTAGGTGTGTTTGTCACAATTACCACTAATGTCCACTTTCCTTCTGTTTCTCTTAAATTACATATTTTTCAGGAACAGGATTGAAAACCGATTGTCTGGAAGGTTATATGCGGCTAACAGTAGATAAGTCTCTAGCTTTTGGAAGTCTGGTTGAATTTGATGCCATGAGTAAGTTGCCAACAATATGTTATATTGCCAAACAAGATTGTAATCTATAGTTTTAACTTTGAGGTTTTTTTCCTTTCAGATGGCTCCCAAATTGAACCTATAACTCCGAGCCTGGCTTCTCAATGTGGCTTTAGTATAGACTCTGATCCCTGGGGTAACTACAGAGTCTTTGCGTCTTTTCTCAACTGTTTTGCAGAGAATGAGGTAATTGGCTCTCTTTGGCCTTAAAAACAATTGCTGTGTTGTACAGTCTTTCACTTCTGTCTCCATTTCAGGATGATCACCTGTTTGATATTAACATGCGTGTCCGAGTGCGTGGTGTCAAAGCTGAGCAAGACGTCTTTCATGTGGAGAAGACCTGTACCCATGACAAGTGGGCCCCCCGTGAAATTGTTTGCAACCGGAATTATATGGAGGTAAATCATTGACTTAAGCTACACCACTAAAACATCTAGCGCTAGTGGTCTTAAGATATCTGAACAAGGTACTTTCCTCCTAGGTTTCCGTTAATCGATTGCCGGGAGAAATTACAGCCATGCATAGGCAGCCTAAGGTGGCCCAAAGCAAAGCAAAGGGTGAAAACCAGTGGGCTGATACGGTTTCTGAGGTATGGAGAATCAGTTTTTGTGTTGTCTTTGCACATGCAGCTTGGTCATGTGCACTCCTCACCTTCTAGGCTATTACCTCAAGAAACAACATCTGGCGAATGGTGTTTTTTACGCCAAAACAAAAAGCCATGGTTTTGGAAGATGCCCTAAGGGCAGGATATGGAGTAACAACAACCAAGTCTCGATTGGTGCTACGAAGTGGCTTTGACATGCCTGAGACCTATGTAGAAAATGTGAGTAGGAACTCTAGTTCGATCATTTAATTGCTAAGAGCTATTGTTTGAGCTGTTGCATATTCTCTACAGGTGAATGGAATACCAATGAAGATGATAAAGGTGACTACCTACTTCAAGAGACAATGGTCTGTAACCATGTTGGATACCATTGCTGCATGTCCAATTGGTACGTGTGACAATACATTTGAACCAATAGTTGCAGATTCCTTTTCCTATAGAGCCATTTTCTTTCCTTATGTGTTCGTTCGAATTAAATGCATTAAAATTAGTTGGGCGTGTTGTAACCAAATCAAGTGATCTTCAAAACCAGGATGGAGGAACCCTGATCTATTGCTTTACTTAACAGGTGGCCTTTCTTTTACCGATGAAATGATCACCTGGTACTTCCCCCGAGTTAGTCCACTAATGACTTCTCCTGAGGCCAATATCCTTGGGATGTTCATGGGAATTGATGGAAGTCAAATAGACTCGGCGCAGATGGCCACCAGAGGATATGTCTTGACAATCGAAGGCAATAATATTGTAATGAAAATACCAATTGGTGGACCAGATGGCTACTACAAGGTTGGTTTTCTTTCTTGAATTTGACCACTTTAAGTCTTGAGCTTAAGCTAATGGCTAACTCCTGTTGTAGAGTCATGCTGTGGACAACCAGTACAACATAAGATACTACATCGAGCCAATGCTGCAGTTACTGTGGAGTGAGGGAGGCATGGATTCTACTAGATACAGAGTCATCTTCCCCATCATGACTCCTTTCATGCCTAGACCACCGCAATTTGTTGACCGTGAGTTGTGGGTTCTTTTACATCCCAAGCTAGTGCAGTATTTGTAGTATTGCAGTTTTTCACTCCGTTTTCCTGTTGAGTGTAGTCCTTGCTTGCACCATCGCTACATGCTCTAGTGGCACTTTCATTTGGGCGTGTTTGTGTAGCAGAAGTTGTGGTGGTTTTATTATAATTTGATTTTAATGGCTTGACTTTCTTTCCCTTAGTCACTGATGCAGACAAAAGAATGTTTGATGTCGTCCTGGGTCCTTTCCTTTATGATGTCGAGTTGGTAAACCTCACCTTTCCCACTGGAGTCCTTACTTTGGCAGAGGCAAATTTGAGGGGGTTCAACATACAAGAACAGCGCTTTCAAAATGGCTCCAAGGCGTTTAGACTTCAAGTCCCCTTCTCTGACTCATTTGTTGGTAAAACTGTAAGTGTCTATAATTCAGTGGGGCTGTTTTGTTATGGCTGTTTCTGATCTCCACTTGTTTCCTTGCAGCAAACTGATTTGCTGCTTACGGTTTATAGTCTTCAGCTTGTCTACGGTTTTATGATCTTCCCCGAATCCACTTCATTCTCCTACGTTGAAAAGGTTGATGTGACCCTTCAAGATGTCAGTAAGTATCAACTTGGTATCTGAAGTCATCTCACAAATTTCCTAAAACGATTTTTGGTTTTTGTTGCTAACCAATTGTTCCCGATCCAGCTCTCCCAACTGTGGGTGGCTCCTGTGATGAGGAAAAGTTCTACATAACGATTTCATATGGAAATCTGGGCAAAAACTTTAATATTATGCTGGGAAAGCGTGAACTGACATCAGGCCTGAGTGCAGAGTATAACCTAAAGGAGAACGTTAGTCACGTGAGCTTGATGGTGCCTTTCCTAGCATCTGATGTTGCGTTTGAGGTATGACTTCCCTTTGTTACCTTCTGTTGTATACTTTGCTGTGTATACTTTGCTGTGTCTAAGTGTCTCGCTTTACTTTGCAGCTGATGTACCCATCATCCTTGAGGGCACGGCTTGATGTGTTGCTTTGGGAGCCCGTCAACAAATGGACCCTTAGTGATTTCTCCCTGGCTTGCAACTTTCCCATGACAATGACTGGTATGTTCTTTTGCATGGTGTTACAATATATCAACTACATTCCTAGAGAATAACAATTGTTTTGGCCTTTTTCCCCCCCAGAGTGTTTTAGCAATGGCTCCATGTCAGCCCTTGCAGTAAAGGTGGAATCTGTACCCCAGCTTAATCCCAGTCAACTTACCCTGAGAGATCAGTCATGCAGACCCAAATTCAGCAATGACCGCTTTGCCTACTTCTCGTATGACGCAAACAGTTGTGGAACCACTAGAAAGGTATGGAGTTAACTTATTCTCTTAGTTATAAGCGCACGCCCTCTAATGCTCCTGTCTCTCCCTCAGTTTTATGATGGTGTCATGATGTATCAGAATGAAATCGTTCTGGGTAACGGGCCACCAGTTTACCAGAAGGGGAAAACCGCTCTACCTCTTGATCCAGAGTATCGGTAAGATGGACTATATAATAGTTTGTGTTTCATTCCTGCTCATTGATGTCTTTGAAATTTTAAAGTGCTCTTTTTTTTCATTGTTAGAGTGACCGTGTCCTGCTTTTATACGCTAAATGATACCCAGACGATTGCGTTTTTCACAAAGCCGCGGGAAAATGAACCTTTGCCGGAGACTGGTTTTGGGGAGCTGCATGTTGAACTGAGACTTGCTTTGGGTATGCTAGAATACTTTACCTTAATTGGCATCTGCTTAATGACCAAGTTAAAAAGGAGTCTTGGACAATTGAAAAGTGGAAGGTTAACTTCAGATGTGCTCTTCATGGATCATGTTAATTCTCTCCCTCCACCCAGATGGATCTTATAATAACTTCTATGCAGCGGAGGATTACCCAGTTGTACAGTACTTAAGAAGTCCTCTGTTCTTTGAGGTGGTGCTGCTTAAGTCCACTGATCCTCAGATCGAGCTGGTCTTGGAGAGTTGTTGGGCGACTCTGAAAGAAGACCGGATTTCTACTCCAAGATGGGACTTGATTGTAGATGGGTAACAATTTTATTTTTATCTAATTGACCCCTTACTAAGTGTTCCATATTAAATGTTACTGATCAGAACTACAAAACAATTTTAGA